CCCCCCCCCCCCCCCCCCCCCCCCCCCCCCCCCCCCCCCCCCCCCCCCCCCCCCCCCCCCCCTAAAAAAAAATAGAAACAAGGATGAGTGATTCACATTAATTTCATATTCACGCACTACCAAATCTTAGTGCGTTACATTCCCCGTCTTAAAAAGATTTATTTCCCTTTAAAAAGTATGCCTTTCTTTTTGGAAAGAAGACCACAAAAAATCTGATGGATATAGTCTTTGAATAAAAAGCTAGCTAAGGTTGAAGGAATTAAAAGAACCCACATTTTTGCAGTGTGCTAAAAGTGAATAATCAAATAGGTAAGCATTATCTGAAATATAAGAATCGAATGAGACAGGTAGAGCCAATAGGGGAATAATATAACAGTTTCCAGTAGTGTAATATCAGATAATAGTTGCAGCAAGTAGAACAATACTACACCCATTCAAAATATAAGAGTTCAAAAGGTAGGCAAAGTTTCATACAAATTTTTCAGCCATAGATTGAAGATCAATTCTCGGAATCAGCTTCACTGTTGCTCTCTTGCGTGCATTGTTGACAGCAACAATCTACAAAAACTACTAAATATTATTTTTTGAAAAAAACAAGGGGGAAAGTAGTGTTTAAAAATGCTAAACCTCAGTCTGTCTACAAGTTAGTACACTCCACCTGAGCAAGGTCTCCCTTGTATTTTCCATTTTTTACACGGGCCATTGTACCCACAGCAACTTCACTGACTCTACTTTGAACAGTAAGCAACTGAGAGATGTCATTTTCAGGAACAGAAGCTATACGGGTAGAATATATTCCATTTATGCCTTTACATGCCTGGATCCACAGTTACCCATCAAATGTTATACTTATTACTGACTAGTAGAAATTATCTAGCACTACCAGAAAATCTCAGGCTACCTCAATTAAATCATACTGCCTTGGAGCTTCTATGTAAATAAAACCTTTTATATGCTCCACACAAAATGCAGATTTTATCTGTAACTTGGTACCAAACGAGTGCAAATCAACAAATTTCTGCATGAGACAAAAAACTGATTGCCGCTCATGCCCAACCTACAAAGAAAATTTACAAACCATAAAAATCAATGAACGAAGCTAGAAAAATTGAAATGAAGACTGTATACTCAATCCTTAGCTCTAGAATGTGTTTCCATTGGTTAAGCACCATACCATGCATTTAACCTTCCACAGAGAGATATTATCCCTGGCAGATTGCTGAGGAGGGTTTCTTCCAGTGGAAATTTTGTTTTCATAATTTTCTTCTGCAAATGCACCAAGTCCAGGACCTCGAGTGTAATGTTCCTCCATCATTCTATCAAATTCTTCTTCATTCATTTCCTCTTCTTTGGGGAAAAATGGGATATTTTGAGCTTTTGAATCATCATTCTTAAATGCCGGTACTGGCTCAAACTCTTCCTCCATGAAATCTATTTTTGTCAAACAAGAGGGTTGAGTAAAATAAAGACAAAAGGTTGTCTTGAGGCTTCTCTTAGGAAACCAACAAGACGCTCCAATTTGGATGGATCAACATTGTTTTTTTGTTAACAACGGGCAAAATGAGAAAATGGCAGAATTTGTCTCACAGAATTCCTTTATGAACTTGTTAATGGACACTAAGGGGATCCAGCCAATGAATCAAGAAGCTCAATCTCCTCATAACTTTTTTTTTTTTTTTTGGGGGGGGGGCAAAAATGATGGCAAATCGATCCATGATTTGAGGAAAAAACCAAAGCTGAAACCAGTTTTTCGAAAATCCAAACCAACCATCCAAACAGAACCAACAAAATCGGGACCAAACCAAGACAATACCTCACCAAACTGAACAAAGATAAATAATTTTCAGTGGGTTTTCTTTTAGGTTTACAACTCTACCTTTGAGGTTTCCAGAAAAATTTAACATCATTCATATCTTCAAAATCCAGAATAATAATACCAATAAAAACAGAAAATGACAGAATTTTTCCCACAGAATATTGCACCAAAACTAAAGCTAATAAAATAAAAACAATGGAGTAACATGCAATTCTTAGTCAAAAAGTAATACCGTTCTTAGAACTAAACTTTCAAGTTTTAATACCTATAAATGTCACCTTTGATTATGATTTTATGCAACTTCAAATAGACACACCAAGTATTTCTAAAAAAAAAAAAAAAAAAAAAAAAAAAAAAAAAAAAA